CATGATAGTGCAGAAGGTTGGAGAATGGTTCTGAATTATTGTTAATAAAAAATAAAAAAACAATATGCTTTCTTAAAACACTCGCATCTTTTCTTAAAAGTATATTATGTAGCAAGTGTTATAAACGTCCATTTAGTAACGAGTATTTTAAGCACGAGCGGAGCGAGTGTTTAATAAACGAGTGTCTAGAAGAGTTTATAAACGCGTTACATATTATGCTTTTTCTACGAACTCCGAAAATAATATTAACATACCTGCTATTCCTGCTAACCTACAAAATAATTCGAATGGAATGGGAATGGAGAACATAATACATGCAACTGCATGCAACCAGCGAGACACGTATAAGTGATATTGGTTGTAGATGTGTCCAGTCCATTGCTTACTAACCTTTGTTTCACGTTTATTGTCATGCTTAGCGCAGAATAAATAAATTGTTCTCAAAGATGGATGCTTCATTTTTACACTTCTTGGAGATATGCAAGTACCAGAACATTCTCTTCGATTTCACTTTCGTCTACATTTCGCATATATTTTGAATGAAGAATTCTGATACAAACGAATATTGTTAGAATAATTCTGATACAAAATTTGAGAATAACAGTTGACCGTTAATACAATTGACAGGCCAGACATGTCTCAAATTACTGAAGCTGTGTTTAATGAACTGTGTCGCCATGGTAATGTGTTTAAGAAATCGTGTTGCCATGGTAACGTGTTTAATATTTTGAATAAATCACAGATCGTCAATCCGTGATTGATCGATCATTCAGCGTGGTACATATCCGTACGCTAAATGCCATTTTAGTTATGTGAGTAGAAAAAAAGTGGTTATCGACGAGAATCGAAGACCATTGTGTTAAGAAGGGATCAAACTTTAATCCGAAACATAATGAAGCTCATTTTAACCACTCACCTTTGCCACAGGACGTTAAGAAGTTAAGGGTGAAATAATAACTTTTGTTTTTCCCTGTATAATGATCAAGCCATCAGTTTTTCTTGGGACCTTATATCCAGGCTAACATTCCGAAACATGTATATACGATTTGGTCGAAATTTCAACGAAATCGGACAAGAATTAAAAAAGTTACATGGCGAACAATTTGGCAAAATTTTTTTTATGGCCTGTTTTTTTTGCCGGTGAGTGTATGAACAAAAGCGAAAGGTCGTCGACTTTTCCAACTGTATAGTCGACTAGATAGTAGTTATGTCAGTGGGTAAAATGCTGAATTTCTTGACGTAAGGTGCACGGCACGCAAAGGGACCTGTTGCCCGGCGAACCCAACTTGGCCCCCTTGTACGCCGTCCTTATCGAGTCGTACGTGTCGCTGATGAGGAAGTTGCACGTGGCGCCCACGTGGACCGAGGACGTGAACGCCGCTCTGATGAGGCGGTTGAACAAGATCGAGACGCTGTTTCCGGTGATGGACAATCACAATATGGACGAGGACGAGGAGATGATGGACGACAAGTTGAACGAGTTCAGGTGAGTTTTTTTAATACACAACAAATGCAGAGAGTTTTTGTATTCTGAATGAATTTTCATACCGATAAAGTCTAAGTCGTTTTCATTTACAAATTGATGTTGATGTTCCCCAAGACAGACTCGATATCAGTCATAACTCTGCCGATGGAAGTGTTCCAGTACGATCTCTATGATATTTCGAACCACAGCGGTACCATCAACAGTGGTCACTATACAGCCTATTGTAAACATCCGCGAACATCTGGCATGAATTCAACGATAGTCGTGTTTCAAAAATGTCAATACCCATGTTGTGTCAGAGTTATTGGAATGAATTTATACAATACAATTTAGGTACTAGTTTTAGTCATGTTTATGTCAAATCATCCAAATGGACACTCTTTTTGTTTTGCTTCTACAGATCTCTAAGAATAAACTTATTTTTATAACTGTATTTACTACATGTATTACTATCTTTACTATTGCTGAATTTATCATGAATATAGACATACTAGTTCCAATTTTCGGGGCGGCAAAATGTGACGTACATTCTGACTCAAATCTGAAAATAGCTGATGGTGAAGAATATAACTAGCAAATAGCTAACGAATAGCTAAAGAATGAAAAACGAATGAAAAAATAGAAGTAAAACTGGTGAACAAAAACATACATGACCACAAATGCACTTGGAGCAAGAATGCAGAAGGTAGTTGGCTCCATTCTGACAGGTTATGGTTTTGTTATTTATGAATTGAAATATTTCGAATAGAGCTCGATCCTAAATGAAAATATCATTGAATCAATGAATCACTATCGGCTACATTGAATGATACTATCGTTCCGAACTTCCTGCCATCGGTCAGAACAGAATGAAGCCGACACCCATGGCTCCTTCCTCTTGTTGTGCCTGTCTGTATTTTGAGTGGTGTGGATGGACTCGAAGTATTAGGTGCTGTTGCAAGATATAATCTGCAACTTTTCTTGAAAATAGATTCGTTTTATTAAGGAACGAATTCAATAGCATAAAAATAACTGACAAGTTATGAATAACATATTGTAATATAACGATACTGAAAATTATAGATACTATCGCAAAATATCATAATTTATCTTTATTAGTAATCATCTGCATTCAGCCAATGAGAGATTTATGGGAATTTTTGCAGCTTATACTGGCTTCAGAGAAGGGTGTTCCGAAGAGAAAGCGCAGAGCTATGCGGAAAATGTAAAGTTGGTATAAACTCCCTAGGGAGAAATTATGTCACATTATCTCCCTAGGGAAAAATACGAGACTTCTGCCCCTCTTTTGTTACCAGAGAAACTAACTTCTACTTCCGCCGTCGTAAAAATTAATTTAGGTCCCCAACGACACAGTGAAGTAACTGAATGCAAATAATTCATTATCAGTTTACTCGCCCATTGCAAATTAACATCGCACTTACATAATCTGTCATCAACAGTTAGGTCCACAGTGAAAATCGTACAGTACACTTTTCAGTCTACTTCCTGCCACATTGTATGTTAAGCTGGATTCGTGCACGACCTAATTTAACCCGAATCTAACCCTAATTTGATTTAGCCCTAAGAATCTGAATCCAGTGGTTCATAAAGTCTGTATAATATTTCTTTGCGTGTGACTGAAATTAGCATAGACCAACGTGCACCTTGCTATCCTCTTCAGACTTGCATATAGAGCAGCAATGTCTATCAGCGATTTTACTAAATATACTGTACGCTAGCACATACCACGCCCACCGTTATATCTCATCTTCAAAGTACTTTACTTAGGCAAAACTCAGAGACTATTTATCCTCAACGAACTAACCTATCCCTGATTGCAATATTTTTGAGGAAGGAAACCCGAATGGAGTGTAGAAACACATTGATTAATAATATATTTCAAAAGAGTTCTTCAACAAAATTGAATAAAATGAGACTGTTTATCCTAAACGCACTAACCTATTTGACTTGACTATGAAAAAGGAAAACCAGAATGAAGTAAAAAAACATTGGTGAAAAAAAAAAGTTGCAAAAAAAGTTCAAGTTCACAGCGATTCGAACCATGGACCTTCAGACTGAAAGTCGACAGCGCTAACCAGTAGACCATTTAGGTGTATGAATTTACTGCGTACAAGAGATTGACAACGAGAGAGCTTCAGTCGAATTCGTGTCAAAATCATAAAAAGTGTATTCTTGCGTTGGAGCACAGTATATTTAGTGCGATGTGCTGTCTCCGAGTATATCGGTAATGTTTGGAGATATGACGTATTATGGTGGGCGTGGTTTGTGCTAGCGTGCAGTATATTTAGTAAAATCGCTGTCTATCATGACGTTTGTTGACATCGTTTTTGAACTCAACGGGTTAAAAGCTTGAATACAGAGATGTTCGTATGTCGAGACACATTTGAATCGGCTAATTCAGAGGCGTGCAGTAGGAGCTGAATGACATCGTTTTGCGTGGCCTTTGTCAAATATTCAACATGCTTTGATCTAATTCTTATGCACAAGTGTAACATTTTGGTGTTCAAGTGCATGCAGTGTGAGACTTAGGCTATATTCCGAATTCAACTGGTCAGTACTGTCTGTAGATCCACTGAATCTGCTGAAAATCTGTGTTCCGAAATATAAAATCAAAAATACAGTGCTGTAATTCGGGACACGTTTTCATGGTTTTCATCAATAGTCAGCAGCAGTTGATCAGCTGGTGAAATTTGTCAGTCTGTAGTTTCTCGTTTATCTGAACTAGATATTTAATATTTAAAGTGGAAGAGCAATCGATTCTTGTAGCATCCATAGTTTCTACGATTATTGACGATGACGATTCAGGCTCGAGTGATAAAGAATACTTGGACATTTTGTTGCCATTAATTTCTCATGATGCACCAGATTGAGAATTGAAATATTTATAGAAAACGTAGTGATGATGAATTTAGGAGACATTTCAGGTTTATTTAGTTATTTATTTAGCCAATGCTGTTTATTCTTTTGTTACCTCTACTACTTCATACTCAATATTATTCTCAGCGCTTATTATTTCAATAACAGGTATTTTCTGTTATTGGGAATAATATTATTAAGAACGAAAATGAATGTTATACATTCCTTCCCCCTCTAAAATAATGACAATTCACTGAAGCCACACTACCTTCCTCAGCAATTTCAGCAGAATGTTGAATCGAAATATTTTGAATGAATTGTATGTCTGCTCACAAGCATCTGTCACTTTCAGTGAATTTTTTAATTTCGGAATGAAAAATCAGCAGATTCAGTACTGTCAGTTGAATTCGGAATATAGCCCTAATGAATGTCTTATTCCAGGGCAGACATGAACACCGACGAACTGTGCGACACCGTGTGGGCCGCCCTGGTGGTCATAGGCGGCCTGGACAGAGGCCTCCGCATGGGCGGCTTCTGCAAGCACAAGAACACCGGCAAACGGGCGGTCGTGTTGGGCGTGCTGAAGAAGGGCGTCGCGACGGTGAACGTGCAATGGGAGTCGGACGGCGGCATCTCCGACGTGGCCATTTCCAATTTGGAGTTTGTCGAGACGACGCCGTTCGCTTGTTGCAAGTTTACGGGGTTGACGCCCCGTTTGCTGTATCACGTGGCCAGATTGAGCGGGATCACTAATGAGACGTCGTTGCCCAGCTATGAGCTCACCGACGACGAACAGGTAGGGACTTTACTACAGTGTCATTCATAAAGTGGGCATTTAGTTATTTAGTTCAGTTATTGCGTTACATTTTTTCTCCATTGATATATTTTATACAAATAATATATGTAAACTGGGCGTCAATTGAAACGTTAATAGTGAAATTTGGCATCAAGTTTGACTTCTCGTACTTTCTAAAATATTGAACGAATTTTGAATTGCCGCCCAGATTCTGAATGCCTTTTTCATCGTCTTTCGAACCGTTCCTTACAGCTTCTTCTAAATTGATCAGGACCCGTGATACAGGGTGAAACAAAGTTAGACTAATTACTTATGCAAGTTAAATTGGATGAACGAAGAAAATTATCGTTAGGATTATTAATACTGAACATTTATCAAATATTTTAATAGGTATTGCTGAATCCTTGCCCTTCGAAAGTTCAGAAAGTAGATCATTTCCGGTGCAACTCGGATTCCCAAATTCACACGCAAAATATGACAGAACGTCCCAGGACTATCGACTCATTAACCAACGAAATGGTCTCCACCATTATGGGCGAGGTATGTCTACCCTTTTCATCAATCCAAATACCAAGGGTATTTAGTATAGGCAGTTTGTTTCAATCTTTCATTTTTTTTTCTAATATTCAAATCAATATCCTGTTTATTTCTTTGATGTAAAGTTATACATTGTGTCTTATTAGAATTAAGAGAAAGAAGAGTGGAGTAAACCCATTCTTCCATTTTCTTTTAATCCTCATTTCTGTTGTTTTCTGAAATTACATGGTTTTTGGTTTTCAAATACAAGTACTGTGTCATCTGAATATATGGCATAGTTTCTTATTGAATTGATTATTGAAATGTTTTGAATGTAAATATAAAAGATACAGAATTGGGCCCAACATTGATCCTTGGGGAACTCCTTCCTTTATATATATATATAGTATTTTTGATTCCCAATTATTGATTTTAGTACTGATTGTCCTTTTTTCTAGATATGTTTTCAAGAGATTGTTTCCAGTACCTCTGAAGCCCATTGAATTAAGGTTTTTCAGGAGAATATTGTGGTCAACTGTATCAAATGCTTTTTTTAGGTCCATAAAAATAGCTACTACATAATTTCCTTTGTCAAGTCCGTCTTGTATAAAATTGATTACTTATAATACTGCTCACTGAGTACCAATTTTCTATTGAAAACCAAATTGATTCAAGTCAAACCCATATTTATCATTGATGTAGTCAACAATTCTCTTAGGATAGGAACAACTAACAATAATGATATATTCTTCATCATCTAATAATTAGTGATATATCTATTGTGTGTACCGTTTGCAGCATTGCGGAAGCCAGCATGCCCATGGTGTTTGGCCTCTAGGTTTCAGACATTTCTAGGAAATGAGCCAGAAATACTTCTTCTTTATTTGGTGTTTTCACTTTTTCACTATTGCACCATTCAATAAATCCCGTGTAGTGCTTCTCATACCTTTGTTAAGACTTCGTTGGCAATAACTGTAGCTAGAAGTTTTTCATCGCAATTCCACTGAATCGAAAATGACAGTAACGCTCTGTCTGTCACTATGAGAATTACACTAAGTAATTTGTGTTTTGATTGACATGACAACAATTATTGTTTCCCACATCAGATCAATCAAAGACTATAGGGGGATTTATATAACAATCAATTATTATTTTTCAATATTATTTCTTCATTTTCACAATAAATAGTGCAATTTGATGGATGGTTTTGTATGAACTTACTAAATACTGCAACAATAAAACCTAAAATTTTCATATTGTGTCACCCACCAGTCACCATTCATATTTTGCGAGAATATTATGTACAGGGTGATTGACTATGGATTTCTCGACTTCAACAGCTGATATCTCGAAAACGAAAAAAGATATTTGAAATTTGGAAAAAGTTACTTGAATGAGATGTCATTTCCTTCTGGAAAATGTGTTCTCTGCTTGATTTTATCATTTCATATACAGGGTATGTGAAAAAAAATTTTTTTTTTCAAATGGAACCCCCTGTATATTATCGCATATTTCGAAAGCGCTATCTTTCCTGATTTCGAAAATATATACTTTTCATATATTCTATCCAGTGCTTGACGAAATATCAGCAAAATTAAATATTAATATTTGGTCCAAGTTAGCTATGGTTGAAATAGAATGAGATGATGAATAAGTGAATTGACATTTGGTCAACATTTCAGTGACATAAGTGCGCTAAATTTCGACAATTTTTTCACGATGCCATATCCACTGGAACAAAGAAGAGATATTTTGGAGTGCTATTTTTCAGTTAATAAAAATCTTGCTGAAACACTTCATAAGTTTATGAGGAGTTATTCAGGCAGGAGATTACCAAGTAAGAATTATGTAAAGTATTTGGCTGCTAAATTTGACAGAACTTCCAGTTTGTCGAATATCAAGAGAATAGTGAGAAGGCAAGACAACGAAGACGAGGAACTTCTGTTGAGGATCCTTCACGGTCAATAAGAAATGCAGTGAGAGAGTTTGGTTTCAGCTATTATTTTGTTCAACATACCTTAAGGAAATATAAATATAGGGATTTCAGAAGAAGCGGATTGAATTTTGTCTTGTCATATCTGAAAGATTAAATATAAGTAAGTATAAGTGTAAGTGTTTCAGCAAGATTTTTATTAACTGAAAAATAGCACTCCAAAATATCTCTTCTTTGTTCCAGTGCATATGGCATCGTGAGAAAATTGTCGAAATTTTGCGCTTTTATGTCACTGGAATGTTGGTCAAATGTCAATTCACTTATTCATCATCTCATTCTATTTCAACCATAGCTAACTTGGACCAAATATTAATATTTAATTTTGCTGATATTTCGTCAAGCCCTCGATAGAATATAATTATGAAAAGTATATATTATTATCTTCGAAATCAGGAAAGATAGCTCTTTCGAAATATGCGATAATATACAGGGAGTTCCATTTGAAAAAAAAAATGTTTCACGAACCCTGTATATGAAATGATAAAATCAAGCAGAGAACACATTTTCTAGAAGATAATGACATCTCATTCAAGTACCTTTTTCCAAATTTCAAGTTTCTTTTTTCGTTTTCGAGATATCAGCTGTTGAAGTCGAGAAATCCATAGTCAATCACCATGTACATGTTTTTCCCGCACTACTGCGTGTGAATGACACTTCCCAAACTAAATTGCGTGCGGGTATAGGGTGAATCACGCAAGCTTGTAGAAAAAATTCTTAAAAAATATGAAATTGAAAGGTATTTGAGTGATTCTATTCAAGAAATAAAAAAAATAGTCCCCACGCCTATTCTTCATTACCCATCCTCTCGCAGGTGAAGCGAATGAATTCGGAAAAGATCTCCGGCTCGCAGAGCGAATCAACCATCAAAGATGGCGGCGTCGAGGAGGTGGAACGCAGCGAGAGCGACCACGCTGAGGCGAAATTATTGGAAAAGCGGTTGCTCGACTTGGAGGGCGAGTGCCTCAAGTCGGCCTTTTTGCAGTTCGCCGCCCTGAAAGTGTTGGGCCTGTTCGTGACGTCGAATTCGTTCGCCGAGTTGTTCGTGATGAGGGATGACGTCGAGGCGGAGGACGTTGATTGGTTCAGGGAGATTATGCGGGCGCTGGTGGATAAGAGCATAGATCAGGTGAGTTTTGCTGAAGAGAGAGGAAGAGTGAGAGAGAATATGATATTTGACATCATAGATCAGGGAAGTTTTACTGAAGAGGAAGAGAGAGAATATAATATTCTTTGTCGCCTAATAACAATAGTTATTTATTATACAAGGAAAAAACGCTTTTCTTATTTTTTTGTGAAAGTACTTGAAATGTTCAAACGTGAAAAAGTTGTTTGTAAACTTGACAAAAGCGGATCTTGACAGGAATTTGGCAATATTTTAGGGTTACTATAACCTATGGATGACAGTTCGAAATAGAGGTCACTACTTTACTGAAAATGTGTTTTCATTCCGGACGACAATGGCCAAAGTAATGCGTGTTCTTTTCACAACCCACCTGAATGATTTCCAATCATCGATTAGTTGAGAAAGTATTTACCGGTTAACTGGCACAGTCGGTAGGAGACGTCTGTATCGTATTATGGTAGTTATATCATTTTTTTTTTGACACAAGACAACTTGTTTCAGAAAAAAAGTCCTACTAATCCATTCTGGTTTATTATCACAAATTATTTTTTCTTGAGAGCTTTTGATTCTATCAAATATTGAATATTAGTTTTCGGGCAGAGAAACTAAGGTGAGAGGAAAGATATTATATTGTGAAAAATCGCTGTATTTTGTGATAGAGAAAATAGTTTCAAGTATGTAGTAGATTGGGGTATTCAAGACTTTTAAATATTAAAATACAGTGCTTTTATACGAACACAAAAATCCTCTAATTTTAGAAACTGTGATAAATAACGATCTGAAATCATTTGAAAAATGGCTCCACTCTAACCTTTTATCAATAAATACCAGAAAAACTGAATAAATGATTTTTCACCAAAAAAATAAACAGAAAATTCTACTCAATCTTCAAATGAAGAATGAATTCTTGAAACAAACTGAACAGATGAAGTATTTAGGTATTTGGTTTGATGAAAAATTGAAGTGGGACAAACATATTGAGGTTCTGACAAAGATAATATCTCCTATTATTGGTGCATTGAGAAGATGTCCCAAACTTAATATGAAAATTGCAAATAAAGTACTCTTCACATATATTAAGTCGAATTAACTATTTAATAAATGTTTGGGGATCTTGTTCTAAAAATAATAAATAAAAAATAATTGAACTGTATGCCTTAACAAAAACATATTCTTTAGAAGAACTGTAGAGATTAGAGACTCTGAAAATTTTATACAGGGTGTTAACAAATAAGAGTCACAACGGAAAACTGTAGATTTCTCATAATGAAAGAAACATTTCCTTCCTCTTCAAAATTTTTTTTCCGGGCTTCCGTTTTCAAGATACAGGGCGTCAAAAAATCAAAAATGTTCAGTTTAATTGAACACACTTTACAACACTTAATGAACTTAACAATTTGTAAACCAGCATACTCAAGAACCTGACATTTGATTGAACATATTATTGTGTTTTAATGCTAAGCAATGTGCCATCTGACGGCATATATCACGTGATCATCAAGTGTGATTATTTGGTAGTAGTATGAAGATTATAATAATTGTTCATTCAATTGTGTGACTGGTTATTATTAGATTATTTGTTTATACAACTGAATATGGTAGAAACATATCTTCCGAGTCGTTCTAGCAAAATTATTATTTTGATATATCACACTTGGCGTCAAAAACATATCATTTTTGACAGAATGACAGCGCGGGAAAATGAAGGTTAAAATCCCAATTAGACAGTTCTATAGGTGTTTATTTCCAGTGGATTTTTAGACGATTTTTGGAGATACCATCAGGATTTTTTATGTTCTTATTCATAAAGAGCCATTTTTCTCGGAAACTGTTCACTTTAGAGCATTGATACAGGAGGACGTTTTTTGTGTGAAAGATATTGGCGCTTCAGAATCCACTTTGAAAATTACAATTTCTCCAGTGGCATAAATGTTTGGGGGGTTAAACCCTTATGAGGCGTTGAATTCTCCTCGACTGACATGTCCAAGGAAATTGATCAAGAGCCCTAAAAGTAGTCATTATTGATGATGAAGTGTGTACGAAGGCTTGACTCCGTAGCTCAGACGGTTCTTGAGATAGTAGCAAAAAACAGATTTTTTTGTATTTTTTTGACGCTCTGTATCTTGATAACGGAAGCCCGGAGAAAAATTTCGAAAGGGAAAAAAATGTTTCTTTTGTCATGAGCAATCTACAGTTTTCCGTTGTGACACTTATTTGTTAACACCCTGTATATCATAAATAAAAAATTGAAATCTAATATCATTTTGACAAAAAAATTTGGAATTCATAGTCATCAAACTAGACAATATAACTTATTTCTCCTTGATGCTACTAGTTCTACACTCGGACAAAATAGATTCACTCATGTAGCTTTATCTGAGTTCAATAAACTACCAGATGAAATTAAAAACGGCAGAAATATAGGTATAGTTGGAAAGAAAATAAAAAAACTGCTCATTTCTGAGAGAAATGTATCAGTAAGTTATGTCCTTGACTAGAATGCCCTTCTTTGTTCATTGATTGTTTTGTTTTATTGTAATTTATTGTGATATCCTGATTTATTATGATTTATTATTCATGTTCACTTCTACTCATGTTTGTGTAGTAGTTCATAGATATTTATTACTAATTATTTTTTAATTATGTCCTTCCTCATACCAGAACTTGTTCTGACAGGAAGCTATATTTGATAAATGAATAAAACATAAAATAAACAACTCCCATAAACCAATGCTTCGATTCGTTGGTCAGTGCAAGCTGAACAACATAACGAGCGTCTCGGAGATGGAACGAGCGCAAACCGTCCTCCACCTCGGCCACATCAAGTGCAGATCGGAGGAGGCCAACTCGCAGCCGTCCTCGTCCGAGCACCTGCCGCCCCCGGGCGTCGACGGCCACCCTTCCAACAGCTTCTCGGCGGCGGGCAGCTCGTCCAACGAGAGTTGCGAGGCGTCGCGCAGAGACATGCTGCTGAGACCGCCGCGGGCGAGCAGTTCGGTGCCGAGACCGCCGTCGTCGTTGAACGTTTTCACGCCAGCGTTTCCTTATGCTGCCGCCTTTTCGTCATCTCTGAGTGAGTCTTATTTGATTGTGAACAAAAATTCTATCGAATCCTATCCTTTGAATGTTGGAGGCTCGGTTGAAGGCCACTAGAGTCACTGGATGGTATTAGTAGGATGAGAGTTCGGACACAAAAATGACGACTATTAGTGTTTTCGAATGTTTAAATTCAGCAGATATTCAATCATGTGCCTCTCTAATATCTTAGACAGAACTGGTGGTTTACTAATAGGTCTCAGGTCAGTAAGATTTTTCGGATTTTTTCCCTTTGGTAGAGGAGTAATACACGCATTTTTCCAATTTACTGGAAAATAACCCTCAATAATGCAACAATTGTATAAGTGGGTCAGGTAAGGTATAATATATGGGCAACATATTTTTAACATGCTGAGTGTAATACCATCGGTATGCACCCGCGGAATTAGAATTGATACTAGCAATTGCTTCTATTACTTGACTTTCCAAAACGACACGTAGGTTGCACTCAGTATTACCAGGAATCCTACATTCCTCATAATGTTTTATTAATTCTGGATCTGTTTCACAATCCAGAGAATCAACCAAAAAGCATTTATTTCATCTGGATTGTTTAAGGAAGACGGAAGTTGAGCATCACTCTTACTAGAATAGGCATTGAGGTTTTTTAGAGCATTCCATGTACTTTTGACATTGCCTACTTGACTAATTTCATTTATATAATTTCGTTTTTCCATTCTAATAATAATAAAAGCGTGTTTCTGCAGTTTTTCAAACTACTATCTATTTTCTATTTCAACAAGTTGTTTTGTTTTCTCTGTCGGTTAGATAATTTTATTATTATTATCGTAAATGGAATTTCTGTCCCTTTCTACTTTCCATTTTCACTTATCACAATAATAATTGTCCACTTATAACTCATGGAGAACTATAAACACGAATTATGCACAACTATCTAGTTTGGAATAAACTGTCTCTTAGTGATATTTGGTAACCATGGAATAATGGATGAAGGAATTTATACCTGGATACAGATTAGGCGCGTTCGACCCTGTCTATTCAATTTTGCTTGTGGTGGGACATTTAATACTTAAAATGACCGCTGCGGCAGCACTCACCTATGCCGTTCTGAAGTCATTGAGGAAGCTGCAGGGCTTTTTCATTCCGCATAGATTCCAAAGCATCCATCGTCCAATTCCAATGATTTTGGTATCAAATGAAAGATAAAAGTCCAATCTACGTACGTGCTGTGAGGCTTTTTTGAAATTTCCTCCCCAAATTTCAAAAATCGGCCTCGAAGTAGCTTGATTTTAGTAGAATTTCCGAATCATGATGTAAAAAATTTGAGGAAATTCAAAATTCCATTACAGGACGTACGTAGATTCAGGTGTTATTTAATGGCCTGTACTTGTTTCAAATTGATATGTTCAACCATTTTCGAGAAATTTCGAATTTGCGTGACCGTGTTATACGTATAAATGCCACTGCGGTGATGGACTGTTAACTTACATATCTTGCATTGTGACAAGAGCACCATAGTCATCCCGCGCTTTTTCATTCAAATTCGTTCGAATTTGACAATACTATTGAGGAAAAAGCATAAATGAAAATATCCTGCTTTGTAATGAATTGTGGGAATACTGGGAAATCTGAACAGAATCAATTTCATTCATTCAATTTTCCAAAGGAAATATCAACCATACTCTTATGGAAGGAATGCATGAAATGACAAGGATGGAAAATTGATTTGAAGACAAGCAAAATTCACTTCTCATAACAGTTAACAGCGGATTAGAATGAAACAATATTCTAGGCCCAGAATCTGCTGTTCCAACCATTTACAATACAGAGAATTACAAAAAATCCATTATTATCATCACACGAAATGCAAGATAAAATTATCATGGGGAAAGGGAAATTGATTGCAAAATTACGTAATGAAATTGAGAAGGTGGAGAATCAAAACAATGAATAAATCGTTTGCCATCAAATATACGTGTGGTACCACAGGCTATGAACACCTGTCTATTTTGTCATATATGGTCATATTAAAATGTTACATACATTCTTTCAATTTCTATAACTGTTGTTCTGCAAAAAGTGTAGCGCTATAAATTGAAGTGGGTATTATACCCTATTTCTATTTTCCATCTACTATTATGATTGATTTGACAGGAAATCTAACCCCTAAAATAGTATCTGACAATCAGGAGCTTCTAAAGAAATTCAACAGACAAAGAGCAGAATATATGTCTTATTCTTTTATTCACAAACCATTGTAATATAGAAAATAGAAAAGGACTGAAGTTCAGCTGTGTCCGAACTCGTATCTTACAAGTGGTTGCGTGCAAGAACTGTCAGATGACCGACCCTGGAGGTGAAACATTGAAACACAACCTCACTTTTCTTATGTGTTCAAAAACGATTGAAATAATTTTTCACAATTATTTTGACATATGAATCGTGTTTTTCGGCCATTCATTAATTCGCACATGCCATCACATTGTGCTGTTGTACAATGCACAAAAAGTGCAGCAAGAAACGAAGGAATCCGGTTGTTACATTATCATCTAAAAGTAATAATAATAATTCTGAAATTCAAAATCATGAAACTAGACAATATAACTTGTTTCATCTTGACGCTGCTAGCTTCATAATCGGACAAAAAAGATTCAATCATTCAGCCTTAACTGAATTCAATAAACTACCTGGCAATATAAAAAATTGCAGAAATATAGGTACATTCAAAAATGAAGTAAAAAACTGATTATTTCTGAGCGAACTGGATAAAATCAATCATGCCATTTTTTTACAAATATTATTCTTTGATTGCCAATTTACAGTTGTTGATATATTTCGAATGATGATATGTTTACCTATAGGTATATAATTATGTACTTCCTTATACCAGAACCTATTCTGTCTGGAAGATAAGTAAATAAATAAATAAATAAATAAGTACCTAATATAGTCACTCACATATAGTTTTCATTTAGAAATTTGGAAATTTCTCTGATTTCTCATCGATTGGATTCATGCAATCAAACGGTTTGACTGGTCTGACATGCTGACGAAATATGATCGTGTGTGTGTAGTCATTTTCAATCAACTAGCAGTATTAGCTTCTATTGCAGAAGTGGCAGAAAGAATTTTAATAAGAATTGACAAAATTTCATAATGAAAACTATGTGAGATTACTATTTACCTGAAAAATCATATTCCTTCGTCTCACGCTGCATTTTTTGTGTATTGTACAACAACACAATGAGAAGGTATGCTTGACTTAATGAATAGCGCAAAAACCACGATTCGTAGTGAAAAACTATTTCAATCCTTTGATTCCTCTGTAAACAAATAAAAAAAATGGGGTTAAATTTCAATGTTTTACAGAAAAGTGAGGTTGTGTTTCAATATTTTACCTCCGCGACCTATACCATCCAGTGACTCTAGGTTGATGTCTAAAAAAGTTACCCCATCTTGGAAAATATCACAGATTTGAGCGGTCCACTTTTGAGCACTTTATTCCAACAGACGCCAACCCCAACTTCCACATAGGCCATCCGACGCGCAGTCGCCTCTTCAGCGGCACGGAATCGGAAGAGAGCCTGTGGGTGCGCAACCCGTTCTTCAATTCCCCACCGCCGCCGCCGATAGCCGCCCCCCTCCTGGAGATGGGCTTCACCGTCAAGCACATCCAGAAAGCCTTGGCGGAGACGAAAAACACCGGCGAAGTGAACGCGCACGCCGTCAACGCATTAGCGACCTGGATGCTAGAACACCCGTATTTGGAGGTGGACGAGGAGCCTTCGGCCAATAGGTTGAGGTGGGTAACCTTAGAGTCCCTTGATGGAAATCGACGTTAAAGTCATCTCAACATGAATGAGGTGAAAGAACTGCAAGTCAATTCATCTTCTATTCTACTTCGCGGTTACATAAATAGCTAATAAACAACCACTAAGTTCGCATTTTTTCAAAATCAAATCACAGAATTAGACTGACAGATATTTGATTACTAGAGTCCCCTGATGGAAATTGACGTTAAATTCTTAATCTCAACAGGGTACGGACAGATCCTCGTCTCCTCTCACTCTAAACTGTTTGTGAAACAGTTATATAGTTCCATCCTTATTCATTTCTGGGGATAAACACAAGATTTTTGACATTTGTTGTTTTTTAGGTTACATTGAGGTCATAGGCGTATCATACGTAATTTCCATGTGGAATTCCTGATTCAACTATTCGCGAGATTCACGAAGTGGGCGACACTAGGTTACATAATACGAACTTCAAACTGGGGGAAAACAAACTGTTGTCTATGGATATAGTGCATAGACTACATTGCAAACAGCTTGCTGTAGCTGTAGTTGTCAAACTTGTCAATGATATAAAGTGTTGGCACTATTGGTAGTGACGATGGTTGAGTTGGTTAATTTTTTTACATTATTACATTTTTATTAGTTTAGTGAACAGTGAACGGGTGAAGAATTGGAGATAGTTCAAACAATTCAAACTAATTATGACGAGCAAATCAAAAAAGTAATGGACGAGCAAATCAAAAAAGTACTGCTCAGTGCAATAATTATATTTCGGAAAGTGTGTGTATGCATTTTTTTTCCAAAAGATCCAAAGCTAGCCCAACAATGGAAAATATCTTTGAAGAATTGAAAACTTTTCTGAATTGTTTCAAATCCATTGTTCTACAGGAGTTTCTCTGGACCCCAACTTCAGTTTTACTTCATGTGGGGAAGATTTCATCGCTGAAGTTTGTAGACAAAGTGCAAAAATGTGCCTTTAGTTGAAGTCTTCTGCCTCACACAAAATCACATGATTAGCACGGAAAACTGCTTCTCCTTCCACTACTGGTCGGCTTTTTCCATCTAAATAGAGCAAAATATCTGCCAAAAGAACATCTACAACAAGCATTATTAACGTTTTCGATCGAATATTGACAATTAATGTCAAGAAATTTAAAAACATCACTCTTATTAGTACACAGTACACAAGCTAATGGCACTAATGGGATTGAGTGAGGATTGAGTTTGTTTTCCCCCAGTTTTGACGTGGCTTTGACATGGAACAATGAAAACCGAGCGCCACCTGGTAACATTGATTCCCGCGAATACCAATATATAGTTGAACAATCCTCTAGTTTTAGAGTTTACTACTCCAGCATAATCTTTGCGAGGTAGAGAACATATAATTCGTACTAAAAGCTCAATATATTTCACCAAAAGAGACTGTTCTTAGACTGTATACCAGGGTAGACTGAATTGACTGAATGAATTCTGATTTCAAGCTGAGCAGTAGTTCAACCATGAACTGAATGAGCTGAGCCTTATGATTGAGAACTGGTGAAAACCTCGATGTGGTTATCTAAACTACTGTACCTACTCATGTCATGTGTGCTAAATATATTTTCGGAAATCCAACTCGGAGAAAAATTTATGGAGTGACTAATTCTAGGACGAACTGTAGGCTTACAAATAGTAATACGTGAAATTGTAGGAAAATGAAGAATAGAATATACTTTACCCCCATGATTTTACCGTCTCCCTTAAATAAAAAGTCATTTCCAAATAATTTATTGATGAAAGTAACAAAGAAGTAGGTATACAGTATAACTTAAGGGCACGTTATTTCCACTCTTGCATCCTACATATTTTCAATTTGTGGTAGATTGATTATTATATAAACTAATGTTAAAAGTGCAGTTTTGAGCAGTGGTTATTTGAATTCCACTAGAAGTGAGGACTGGAGCCAATACAGTTTACGTGATATTTCCATAAAAAAACTTCAGTGACCCACAATTTGGTTCGAAATATCTTGCTATTTTGTGAGAGATTGCTGCACATACCCTTCAGCGATATTCGTAGACTTCCAAGCAAGAATGTCTCCTCCAGAATTTGCAAGTAAACTTCCGAAACTATGCCCGATTGAGTGGCAAGTATCAAACACTGCTTTTCGGATCTGCAACTAAACATCACATATCAATCGAAGTACATTCATATCAGAAAATAAATATCATTAGATGAATTACATGGATGTTGAATCTGAGACATACCTGAATAATATATTCAACGTGCGTAAGTGGATTGCTACATATCCGCTTTCTTTCCGAATAGTGTTTTTTCCAGTAGGCATCTTCCACATTTTCAATTACGTACGTGCGTTATTTTAAGGACCTTGAAGGCCAAACGATGTGCTGCTCGGATCTAAAACTAAGGATCAATTTCAAATTTGAATTGTGAGACCTACATAGAATATTGGATATTGTTTTCAACATTCGTAACTGGAACGCGATATATTTTTGTAATTCATCAACTATCTCAATGAAGACGAGACAGGCAGATAAACAACAATTTTCTCTGCAATGAAGAACACTGTATATACCTAACCCACCATGCGCCTACCTCCTTTGCAGAGAGGGTTTATAAACGCCGAGTTGATACTCTCCCCTCGTAAGGGTACCTGTCGTGTTTCCATAGAGACATAAAGGTGAATATCTGTCTTATCTGTTTTCTTGAGCATCTGGAAAGGATATGAATATATTGCCTTCCGTACGAATATAATGATCTGAATTTTGTAAAGTATACTCTGGTCAGGTCTCTTTGCGGATCTTCTGTTCGGTTCGTCTTGACTGGGTGGTTTTCTCCGATTGAGTGGCAAGTATCAAACACTGCTTTTAGGATCTGCAACTAAACATCACATATCAATCGAAGTACATTCATATCAGAAAATAAATATCATTAGATGAATTACATGGATGTTGAATCTGAGACATACCTGAATAATATATTCAACGTGCGTAAGTGGATTGCTACATATCCGCTTTCTTTCCGAATAGTGTTTTTTCCAGTAGGCATCTTCCACATTTTCAATTACGTACGTGCGTTATTTTAAGGACCTTGAAGGCCAAACGATGTGCTGCTCGGATCTAAAACTAAGGATCAATTTCAAATTTGAATTGTGAGACCTACATAGAATATTGGATATTGTTTTCAACATTCGTAACTGGAACGCGATATATTTTTGTAATTCATCAACTATCTCAATGAAGACGAGACAGGCAGATAAACAACAATTTTCTCTGCAATGAAGAACACTGTATATACCTAACCCACCATGCGCCTACCTCCTTTGCAGAGAGGGTTTATAAACGCCGAGTTGATACTCTCCCCTCGTAAGGGTACCTGTCGTGTTTCCATAGAGACATAAAGGTGAATATCTGTCTTATCTGTTTTCTTGAGCATCTGGAAAGGATATCAATATATTGCCTTCCGTACGAATATAATGATCTGAATTCTGTAAAGTATACTCTGGTCAGGTCTCTTTGCGCATCTTCTGTTCGGTTCGTCTTGACTGGGTGGTTTTCTCCGATTGAGTGGCAAGTATCAAACACTGCTTTTAGGATCTGCAACTAAACATCACATATCAATCGAAGTACATTCATATCAGAAAATAAATATCATTAGATGAATTACATGGATGTTGAATCTGAGACATACCTGAATAATATATTCAACGTCCGTAACTGGATTGCTACATATCCGCTTTCTTTCCGAATAGTGTTTTTTCCAGTAGGCATCTTCCACATTTTCAATTACGTACGTGCGTTATTTTAAGGACCTTGAAGGCCAAACGATGTGCTGCTCGGATCTAAAACTAAGGATCAATTTCAAATTTGAATTGTGAGACCTACATAGAATATTGGATATTGTTTTCAACATTCGTAACTGGAACGCGATATATTTTTGTAATTCATCAACTATCTCAATGAAGACGAGACAGGCAGATAAACAACAATTTTCTCTGCAATGAAGAACACTGTATATACCTAACCCACCATGCGCCTACCTCCTTTGCAGAGAGGGTTTATAAACGCCGAGTTGATACTCTCCCCTCGTAAGGGTACCTGTCGTGTTTCCATAGAGACATAAAGGTGAATATCTGTCTTATCTGTTTTCTTGAGCATCTGGAAAGGATATCAATATATTGCCTTCCGTACGAATATAATGATCTGAATTTAGTAAAGAATACTCTGGTCAGGTCTCTTTGCGGATCTTCTGTTCGGTTCGTCTTGACTGGGTGGTTTTCTCCGATTGAGTGGCAAGTATCAAACACTGCTTTTCGGTCTGCAACTAAACATCACATATTAATATTAATCGAAGTACATTTAAATCAGTAAATTAATATCATCAGATGAAGTACATGGATGTTGAATCTGAGACATACCTGAATGATATTTTCATCGTCCGTAACTGGATTGCTACATATTAATCGAAATTCATTCAAATCAGAAAATAAATATTATCAGATGAAGTACGTGGATGTTGAATATGAGACATTCCTGAATATTTTCAACTTTTGTGAATGGATTGCTACATATCCGCTTTCTTTCCGAATAGTGGTTCTTCCAGTAGGCATCTTTCTCATTTTCGATTACGTGGGTTATATCGTTGACCTTGATGGCCAAACAATATGATGCTCGGATCTGAAACTAAGCATCAATTTCAAATTTGAATCCTGAGACCTACATACAACATGAATATGAAAGTCTGGTTGATGTTTTCAACATGATTCTAGAAAATACTATCAACGAAGATTTGAAAAAATTTGAAAAATGGCTGTATTCAAACATTCTATCAATTAATACCAATAAAATTGAATATACCGGGTGACACAGGAGACATGTAAGGGCCTGTAGTTTTTTTATTTGAAGAGATAACATTTTGAAATTCACAGGGGGTATATATTTTTTTTATAGCCACTATAATTTGAAAATTGGCAACGTTATGCATAATATGTGAGTGCATCAATATTTTT